TGAGCGAAATCCACACTGGTAACGGTCAAGCAACTTGTTTCTTTCTAAATAATATATAAGCCTTTTATTTATCATCCTTTCTAGTGTCTTTGAAAAACAACTCGTGAGAGCTATCGGCCTAAAGCTAGATGCACAGGTAGGATCCTTTCCTGGCTTCAGCAGGGGAATTATGATAGCCACCTTCCAAGATGAGGGGAAGCAACCTTCAAGCCAAATGCGGTTGAACAAATATAAAACAAGCTCAAGAGTTGATGGATGGAGGTGCTGAAGCATTTTGTAATGAATGCCGTCTGGCCCAGGAGCCGTCTGTTTGGACGAACGAAGTACCAACTGTAGTTCAAAAAGTGTAAATAGTAAATTATAGGGCTCCTGCAAGCCACCTGACAAAGGAACTGCCTTTTTCTCCGCCTGTAGCTTGTGTCGCTGAAATGACCGAGTATAATGCTGAGAACTTTAAACAAATTCGAAATGCTCACCAAGGACATTCGCCTGTTCTTCTAGGCTGGCAGGGCATTGTCCATTTTGGTTCAGGAGTGGGGCAGAAAATACCCGGTACGAGCCTTCAATTTTATGCACACGGTCCCAAACTTCCTTCGAGGACGCACAGCTATTAATTGAGGAAGCATATCCTCTAAAGCTTTGCCGCTTCGCTTGCCGTCGGATATACCTTGCTTGCGCTCTTTTTTTCTTAAAGCCGATCAGGTTAGTTGCTGTGGGATAACGCCTGAGAATACCCCATGCACGATTCTGTTCTTTCTTTGCCTGGCGGCAGTCTTCGTTCCACCATGGCTTTGGCCTTTTTGGAAGATGTGAGGACGTCATGGGAATGGCAAGCATTGCGGCCTGCAAGATGTGTTGAGTAATGTGCTCGGTGACGTCGTCGATGGAAAGATCATCAAGGGATGAACATGCTATAAGTGAGGCTTCTGTAAAGATTGACCAGTCAGCCTTTTCAAGCTTCCAACGAGGGGTACGTGTTAAAAGACCAGCAGGAGGATGGTTAAACTCTAAAATGAGTGGAAAGTGGTCACTCCCATATGGATTTTGGATGACCTTCCATAAAAGCAGGGGGTACAATGAAGGATGACAAAACGAAAGATCAATGGAAGTAAAACTACAAGTTGCTGAACTAAAATAAGTGGCTTCTTTTGTGTTGAGCAGACACAATCCTGTCGAAAGAAGAAACCGTTCAATGAGTGCCCCTCGAGAATCTCTTCTAGAGCTTCCCCACAAAGGATTGTGTGCATTGAAATCACCTAAAATGATGTAAGGCACCGGAAGCTGCCTAATTAGATTATCTAGCTCCTCAAATTGCAGCTGATACCCCGGGGAGATATACACTGAGCAGACAGTAATCACACGGTCAAGCAGCAAACGGACAGCCACAGCCTCGAGAGAGGTTTGCAAAGCCACTTCAGTGGACGGGACCATGCGTTGGACAACCACTGCAACACCACCAGAAGCTACAGATGCGTTTAACCTATCTTTTCTGAACACTTTGAAGTGTCTAAGAACATTTGAGTGACTTTCTTTAAGGTGTGTCTCCTGCAAACAAAAGGCAGCAGGGTGGTGTTCATTTATTAAAAAGGTGATGTCGTCATAATTGGAAAAAAGCCCACGACAGTTCCATTGTAAAAAAACAGACATTATTAATATTAGGCAGTTAGCTTTTTACCAGAAAGTCACAAGCTTTGTGTAATGGTAGCTAGAGTAAAACTAAGCCAGTGACAGGAGGTAAATTTAGTAAAAGTGGAAATGGACATGAATGATGATTTAATGAGTCTGCAAGAAGGCAGCTCCGACCGAACCTTTGGGGAAAAACAATTAAAAATAAAGCCCCTGGCGAGGGAGTCGCCAGTGGTCCTCTGGTTGGTCTATATGGAACTGCCCCCTCCGACCTCCAAGGGCGTCGAGACTTTGGGCCGAGGCCACTGGCGAGGGAGTCGCCGTTACTCCTCTGTCTCGGCTGGTCCCTAGGAGTAGGTGGAGCAATGGGAATGAGCAAGATAACTTGGTGATGTGAGGTTAGTGTAGTGACTGAAGATGCAGGATGATATTCCTGTTGAAAAAGCATATCAGCCTTGCAAAGTATAATTGTCACTTCGGTGGTACAATTGGTTTTTTGCTCTTGTGCTTGCCCTTGGGGACCTGCCACTCCATGTCGTCTGGGTCAGACGCAGGAGTGGATGGGTCAGCACCCTCCTCCATTGGTTCTGCCTCCTGGGCGGAGGCTGTTCTAGCCGGTTTAGGGAGGCTCTGGGCACGAGGTGGAAAACCCCGGCCCCGACCTCCACCAACCGGAGGAGCAGAGGTACTGGGCAGGCAGTCGCCCAAGTCCACCTGCTCCTGCCCCTTGGGTGATGGAGCAGTGGCACAAGAATCGTGCCGCTCCTTGGATGAGGACGCTCCCTCCGAAGAATTCGGTCGGGAGCGTGGTCCCCTCTCCTTGGAAGGAGCCCGCGAAGCACTGACAGGTGCGGACACAGCCGACCCATCTTGGGTAAGAGGAACAGCCTGTGAGCCCTCTACACGAGAGGGGACAGGCTGCTGCCCCGTTGAAGAGGAACAACTCTCGCTGGAGGAGGATGTAGGCCTACCAGCCGAGAGTGAACGCCCAGGAAGCTGAAGCTTCAGCTGGGGTGTTGGGGACTGCAGTGGCTTCCTAGCATTCGGGAAGGATGTCTGAATTGCCACCGCAACCTTCAGTGGTGCAGGTCCCCGCTGCACCACCTGTGCAAAGCCACCCTTGCGCAAAAACGCGAAGCGGCGACGCGCCTCTGGGTATGAGAGGTTTTCTTTCACTTTAAGGGTAAGAATTTCCTTCTCATCTTTCCACGTCTTACACGATCTGGAGTAAGCGGGGTGGGGTTCTTTGCAATTTACACAGACTGCGTCGTTGGAGCAAGAGTCTGCTGCATGGTCAGTTTTGCCACACTTAGCACATGTGGCTTTGCCGCGGCAGTTCTGTAAGCCATGTCCAAATCTTTGGCAGTTGAAACACCTTCTGGGGTTTGGAACGTACGGACGAACTCTGCAAAAAAGGTATCCAGCTTTCACAGACTCGGGAGTGTGGTGGCCTCAAAGGTAAGCACAATGTGCCTCGTCTTCAGCTCTTGGCCGTCACGACGCAAGGAGATGCGCCTTGCAGCTACAACCCCCTGGTCAGAAAGGCCCTCCACTACGCTCTCAGACGCGTCCAGAAGGTCGTCCTCCGAGATGACTCCTTGGATGGTGTTCAATGTCTTGTGGGGTGTCACGGTAACCTTGTAGTCCGACACAGAGTTGAGTGCAAGGAGCACAGAACTCTGGTGGCTGGTCTCAATTTCAACAAGTAAATCGCCTGATGCCAGTTTTTTAGCCTTGAAATTCTTCCCAACCACACTCTCCAGGACTTTTGCAACGCGAAATGGTGACATTTTCGAGAGCGGTTTGTCACCTTCAGAGTGGAGTACTAAGAATTTCGGGAATCTAGGTGGAGTAGAATGTGTCTCGTGCGAGGTAGAAGCTTCGGTGCGACCCCTTTTCGGGGGCCGATCAAGGAAGGATTTTTTGTGCAGACCCATAGAGATGGGGAAGAAAATTCAGTGCCCGGGTGCACCGCCCACCACGGAGCCCAACAAGGGGGTAGGTAATGTGCCATAGCAAGAGGGCTTGGCTGACACAATTACGCTACCAGTGCTGCCCGGGCACTATACCCTAGTGTGGTTGCAGGGATAGGTCCTGTTTCCACTCAAGGTTGGCCCTTGCCGCCTAAGAAGGTGAAAAAGGAAGGAAGAGAGTGTAGAAGAAAAGAGAAAGGGGTGGGAGGAAAAGTGAAAGAAGGAAGAAGAGGGTAGAAGAGGCGACTGACTGAATCATCCTGGTCGGGCCAAGCCAGGACACCCGTCTACGAGAAGCAGGGGTCGAAGCGGTGTATTGCCTCGCCCGGGGGGCCCCGAAGGGTCCAAACATACCCCGGGCTCAGCTCAACCACCAGGTCCCCTTTTCCCCGGACACGGGTTAAGCCACGCACAGCCAGACGTGGGTGGGCGAACCCACAGGGCTCGGGGTTTGTAGTGACGCCACTCACCAAGCACCTGCTAAAGTAGGCGCCCCCTGCGTGCGGGTATGGTGGCCCACGCGGCTGGGGTCCGTGGTGACGCTACTCACCAAGCACCTAACACCTAAGGTGCAGGCGCCCCATGCGGAGCTCGGGGTCCGTGGAGACGCCACTCTCCAAACACCTGCTTTCACAGGTGCCCCCTGCGGGGAAGTATTCCGGGACGGACTCGTCTGGCTTCTGATCTCTTTTAAAAAACTTGAAGCTCTCAGCGATTTCGTTCAGTTTCGGTGCGTAGTACGTTCCTAAGCGCTCCACGACTTCGGTATATGTAAGCGAATTGACCGCTGTCGACGAACTGGACGCTTGCAAGACTTCAATTGTCTTCGAACTTAAGGCGGACACGAGCAACGCTCGTTTCTGCACCGCGTCGGTCACTGCATTCCCCTCGAAGAACGCTTCCAAGCGTGTCAAATAGGTGGTCCACTTATCTGATCCCTCGTTGAACTGGGGAACAGAGAAGGCCATGGTGTGCTTGGTCGAGGTGGGTTGACCGGTTTCAGACATTGGGTTCAGCCTCGTCGCCAATGAAGTAAATTCGGAAGACAAAATGAAGGAGTCATGTCAGCTTAGCTGGTTGTCACAAGACTGAGCGTTTATTCGTCGTCGTCGTCGTTTTGCCTTATTTTTCGGCGCGGCCGATCTTGATAGATCGGCGGTTTAAAGTAAAAGAAGAAAACAAAACAACTTCGGTCAGCCGCGTGAACCGCAGCGCGTGCAGCGTCATTCGCTCCCCAACACAAACAAAGCTCAGCTGATAGAAACCCTTACAGGAACCCGCCCAGCCACTGGCCGTGCAGTTCATTCTGCAGGCTCCAATGGAGCAAGGTATCGAGGTGAGTACTTTGGCTAGATCAACCCTCAGAGCATACGTTTCTCCTTAGATCAGGCTACACATAGTGTGTATGTTTCTTGTAGGAGCAAACCGCAACAGACCAGGTCACCGCTGCCGAGGAGGGACCACAGGTAACTGCGTCGCATAGGCCAAACAAAGCTCAGCTGATAGAAACCCTTACAGGAACCCGCCCAGCCACTGGCCGTGCAGTTCATTCTGCAGGCTCCAATGGAGCAAGGTTTCGAGGTGAGTACTTTGGCTAGATCAACCCTCAGAGCATACGTTTCTCCTTAGATCAGGCTACACATAGTGTGTATGTTTCTTGTAGGAGCAAACCGCAACAGACCAGGTCACCGCTGCCGAGGAGGGACCACAGGTAACTGCGTCGCATAGGCCAAACAAAGCTCAGCTGATAGAAACCCTTACAGGAACCCGCCCAGCCACTGGCCGTGCTGTTCATTCTGCAGGCTCCAATAGAGCAAGGCTTCGAGGTGAGTACTTAAATAGATCAACCCTCAGTGCGTACTTCTCTCTGTAGACCAGGCTACACCATAATATGTATGTTGGCTGTAGGTTGAGCCTAAGCTAAACATTTTCACAATACAAGTGACATGCCCAGGGATAACAGGCTAATACTTACAAAGGGACATGACGAAGTAATCTACGACTTGTTTACAATCTAGATTGGAGGTTATTATTTTTCTGTCTAACCTTGCATGCCGTTGCATATACAGATATTTTTCTTGAGTAAATAAATCACTTAGAATTGAAATTATTTATTTCAAAATATATATGTATACCACATTTTTTGGCATTAGAAATTGAAACATTTATTTAGAGAGCAAATTTATATACCGAGTAGACCTCAACACAATAAAATAAGTATGTTATTATTATTTAGATATCATGCATAGAAAATAATTTACAATAATCTTTCACTGTTTTTTTTTTTCACTTTCTAGACACCAGGGACAAGCCGTGTCTTCGTGCCTCAACCCTCAACAAGTCACGGAATCCCAGTGGTAAGAAACTTGGGATGCTCAAAAATGTTCCAGAGGTGACCCAGCATTATAAAAGAAATTACACCAAAATTTACTCAACGAAATGAACATTTTAACACAAAATAAATTCTGTCTCTGATCTTTACATTTCTTGTCATATCAACTTTAGATAGAAAGCTGAAATTTTTCACTGTTCAAGCTGTGGAACTAATATTTAGTATATCAACATGTTCCTTGACAAATATTAAAAATAAATATATAATTATTAACTTGGACAGCAGGATACATATAGAGCCACGATGAGTGCCTGCCTTGTCCCACTTGGCTTTGAGCAATACTGCCACCTGTATGTACCAATAAGTGTCAGTGCACCCAAAGACTAGAAACTAAATGATTGGCATAAGTGTCGCCATTTTCTTATACATATGAGGAGCTCACCGATGCTTCATTCGCCAGTGTTGGTTCTCATTCTGTTTTTTTTTTGTATTTCTGTCACAAAATAACTAATGTTTTAAACTTTAGCACTAGGGAAATAAGCTAAGAGAAATATTTGGCCCCGTTCAGTAGGCTTCTAAGTAGGGTGCATTGCGGAGAAGCGACACGCACACCCTATTGAAGAACCAGCTTAAGCTGGTCCCAGCTTCAAGCTGGGTTATTGCCCCAGCATGCCCAGCTTGGCATGCTGGTCATGCTAGTTGATCTGGTCCCAGCTTCAAGCTGGGTTATTGCCCCAGCATGCCCAGCTTGGCATGCTGGTCATGGTGTTTGATCTGGTCCCAGCTTCAAGCTGGTTTATTGTCCCAGCATGCCTAGTTTGGCATGCTGGTCATGCTGGTTATACTGGTCATGCTGGTGAACTTCCCAACCAGTTTAACCTGTTTAAATTAATACACAGGATAAACAACCTGAGCTCTTCGGAAAAGCCAACTCGGCATCCAATTTATTAGTTTCGTACTTGCGGCCGCATCACATGAACTCAGATGCTACATATCCTCGGCGCTGACACAGTACTAACCGACGCACAGACAGTGGTTCTCGGTGCAAAGCCAACAATGTTCATAAAACCAGATTGCTTATCTTTGAACACGAAAAATACTAGACACACGCCAAAAACAAGCAATAGCTAAAGAAAAAACTACACGGATGAGAGAAGCGAACCTGGGTCCCGCCAGTAATGGGGGCGAAGCGGCAACTTGCGTGGTCGGCAGATGTGAGGAAATCCGTGTGGCTTGGATGGCATTGGCGATACTCCTCGGCACCACCGTCATTCACGAGCACATACACGTTCGAAGACACGAAGCGACGCCTCAGTCGGGACGTCCGACATCTTCCCGCACTGAACGGACTACCGCTCGCTGACTCCTCAAAACCCGCTTCGCTTGCATCGTCGTTCAACTAGTCTCCAAACAACGCGCACACAGCCGTCCCTTCGAAAACCTGCCCAAGATAGCCAAACGCGTCTAAAATTCTCCGTTTTTTACCACTCTCTCTCTCTCTTTTCTCACACACAAAGGTAGCTAGTAGCGCGCCTGACGCACCCTGTCGTCTACCAAAAACAAGAGGACAAAGAACAGGACGTGGCCTCGTTCCATCCTAAGCCGACCTTGACGTGCGCGCTCCCAGCATGACCAGCTTGACCACCACGATTATTAGTTCGACCAGATTCACCAGCTTGTCCCCCAGCAAAACCAGCTTGTCTCCCAGCTTGACCACATTGGCTCCATGGAAAACCAGTTTGACCAGTTAGGACCAGACTGCCTCCCAGCTACACCAGATTGAATCTAAAACCGGATTCTAGTTAGACCATGCTGGTTTTTACCTAAACCAGACTGACCAGCTTAAATTCTACCTTGCCCAGCTTAAACCAGCTTGATTGTCAGTTAAACCAGTTTGACTACCACATTGACCAGATTGACCAGCTTAATTACCAGCTTGGCCAGTTTGATTTTCATGCTGGTTTTTCCAATAGGGCGGAGCGGACACCGCGATCGCGCGAATCACGACGAGCCTTCACTGAGGCTTCACCACAGTGCAGTCTCCTGCTTTATGACGAAGCATACCTCCAGATTCAGAAAGAAAAAAAAAATGGTGGGACCGTGGTGTGGTGAATGCTGATTGTGCCTGATAGATGTTGGTTACCTGTTTACTTACAAAATGAATTAGGCTGCAATATCCTGACAATTAAGCTTTGTGTGTGCACCAATATTGGTCATCTCTTTTAGTTTGCAACAAGGGGCTCTCCTTTGCTTTCTAAGGTTGTGAACGGCTTGGGGTCACAGTGATTGTGATATCTGGAGTATGTTATGTTGCGATCGATGTCACATGTCTGAAGGACAGTTCTGGGTTTCCTTATAAACCCGGAAGGGGAAGTTGCAGCGTTTCGAGAATGCTGTTTCTGTCGTCCCTTTTTGTCCCTTGATCTCGGGTTTCGCGACGTTGGAAGAAATTATATTTGGGTATAGCGAGAGGCCTATCAAATCTCACATGTACCGTCAACCTTTGTAGGACTATATAGAATGCCAGAGTCATGAAATAATTTAGATTAAACTTAGCTGAGCCTTGGTGGTGGAGAGACATATACTTCACAATAACCATAATCAAATAAACTCTGCATTTTCATTTAGAAATATATTTCTGTACCTACATTAAATTAGAAAACAATTGTTTGTTGCCTCGGTTAAAATGTGCAGTTGAAGCACATTCATAAAAAATTGAGCAAAACATTCAAACTATTAAAAAAATATTAACTTTCTTCTAAGCTCCTCATTTCAGTGGATTACTATTTGTTCCTTGGAATTATAATACCTTTGATATATCATACCTAAAATTACTATACACACAAGTTCACGCTCTCATCTCTGAAATATTAATGTTTTGAAAAATCTGTACCAAATCAAGGGTGTCCAAAGCTAAGAAGAGTGGTTGTTTGGGCTACTTTGTTGGTCATTTCATAAAGCTTATGCACTTCATAAAGCTCATAAAGCTTATTTTTTGCATAAAGGCTATGCACAAAAATCAATTGCCATGCAACTTAAAATTCTGATTTTACTCTGAGTGCAACTGTAGCCATTACTACACTGATTGACATGATACATGCAACATGTAGGTGAAACTAAACACATTGACTGTTTCAAATGTTTCTTACTGTAGGTCACGCCTGCACAAACCAAGAAAGAACCATTCCTAGAAGCCCGCATGCGGCACTTCACCGAGCAGCACATCAAAGATTCTAAGGCGATCAAACGGCTACAACAATCCAAGCGTCGGCTAACCAAGAGGAATGCTGAACTGAAGACTTTGGTCAGTGACCTGGTAAAGCAAAATATTTTGCTAAAAGAAGACGGTGCTATCTTGCAGAGCTTTGGTGCTGCAAATCAGCAGCTGTTATAACGACAGCTTGCCAAGCACACAGGAGCACCTGTACCAATGCAGTACTCACCAGAACTACGAGCCTTTGCCTTGACCCTGCATTTTTACTCTCCACGTGCCTACACCTACGTGCGCAAGGTTTTTGATACGTGCCTACCCCATCCCAGGACTCTAACTAAGTGGTACCAGTCCATTCACGGCAAGCCTGGCTTCTCTGAAGAGGCCTTGAGGGCACTAAAGCTGAAGACCAAAGCCAACACAACCTCAGGCATTGCCACCATCTGCAGCCTCATGGTGGACGAAATGTCGATATGGCGACACTTGGAGTGGGATGGCCAAAAGTATGCGGGCTACATGGACGTGGGAAGCGGAGTTGACGATAACAGTTTGCCGCTAGCAAAAAATGCATTTGTCATCATGGCAGTGGCCATCAATGGCAGATGGAAGATTCCTCTTGGATACTTCCTCGTTGATGGCCTTGAAGGAGAACAGCGCGCCAACCTTGTTGTCCAGGGCCTCACCCATGCCCATGAAGCTTGAGCTCTTGTTGTTTCGCTAACATGTGATGGAGGACCCGCAAACTTCTCCATGCTTCGGGAGCTTGGACGTGACTTCAGTAACATGGCCAACCTGAGAACAACATTTTTACACCCGGTCACGCAAGAACCTGTGGCAACATTCATGGACCCATGCCACATGCTTCAACTTGTCCGGAATGCACTTTGTGAAAGAAGGCTTTCATCGGCCCTGACGGTGAGGTCGTTGCATGGCATTTTATCGAGCAGCTCCGTGTCCTGCAACAACACGAAGGGCTACACCTTGCAAACAAGCTCCGTTTGTCCCACGTTGACTGGGAACGACAACCAATGAAGGTGAGCCTGGCAGCTCAGGTCCTGAGCATGTCAGTCGCCGACGCCCTAAATGAGTGCCGCAGCCTCAGTGTCGCGGGATTCCTGGGGTCCCAGCCAACAGAGACATTTTCGCGGATCTTCAACAACCTCTTCGATGTCCTGAACTCTAGAAATGTGCACCAGAAGAACTGGAAAAAGCCTCTCTGTCCCCAAAACATCCGGCAAGTCAAGGACTTCTTCAGGCAGGCAGATGCCTACTTGTCATCCTTGCGAGACTCTCATGGTGGGCCAACCCTGCTTCACACTAACCGCAAGACAGGATTTCTTGGCTTCAGGATATGCATGAAGAGCCTGTTGGCTCTGTACAACTTTCTGGTTATTGAGAAGCAGCTGCTGAAATGTCTGCCAGCACACAAAGTAAGCCAGGACCATCTAGAGCTGTTTTTTTGGTACAGTGAGGTCTTTTGGACGGCAGAATGACAACCCCACTGCTCGACAGTTCAGTGCAGCGTTCAAGAGGCTCATCATTCAAAATGAAATCGAGGATGTAGAAACTGGAAACTGTCTACCATTGGATGAGGTTGGCATACTCAATGCAAGCAGTGGCACAGTCCCAGCCGCAGACATTCTCAACTACACAACTCCTCGTTGGAAGCTGCTGCCACCTCAAGATGGGGCAAGTGAAGATGCCAGTCACGACTACTGCCTCAACCCTGGCTACATCACAGAATGCTGCGGCCGGATTGTGACCTACATAGCAGGTTTTGTTGTACGCAGCCTGCGCAGATCATTGCTGTGTGAGATATGCCTCACCTCGTTGACAACAGAGCCCAATGCCAATTCAACTTACTCACTGGTACGCCGCAAGACCAGAGGAGGGCTGCTTTATCCGTCGGGGAGTGTGATAAAGACTGCACGAAAATGTGAGCAGCAAGTCCGCACCGTCATCAACAGTAGAAAACTGTCGGGACAGAACATTGCCCACAAAATGGTTGCCAATGTGCTTGAAGCATTCATTGACAAAGGCCTGTTTGTCTCGATTCGTGACCACATATACGATACTGGCCCGCTCGAGAATCATTACGTCCTTCTTGTGAGAAGTGTTGCAGAACGCTATATCAACCTGCGACTGCATCATGCTGGAAAACAAATGACACAGGACACCCACCTGGAAAGGGTGCGCCAGATGTATAGGAAACTTACACAATTTGAGGGCCAGTAGTTTCTACTGGTCCATGACAAAGACTGGCCAGATGGAGCAATACCTTGATAACAAGAATGAAAGCACTAGACCATTGCTACTGTGCCATCAAATATAAAAAAGCCTAAATTCTCACTCCCGGTTTATGTTAAACATTCAGTGTTCTCGAACTGCTAAGGATCCTTATGTGCATCCGCGCTGTACCTGACATGAAGGCCAATGTTTCTACGCTGCCACCACATTATTTATAAAAAGCACCCTCGATGCAATTTTTTTTTCTGAAGTGGATGGATACAACTGTTCTGTTTTTGTTTATTCTTTCCGTAACAAGTTGTGAAGGAATTATGTGCATATTCCTGTTGTGTACCTGACATGACCGCCACTGTTTCTGACCTTCCACCACATTATTTATGACAAGTAACCTGGATGCAATCATTTTTTTTCCTGGTGAAGTGGATGGATACAACTGCTCTGGAACTGTGAAGGATACTTGTGTGAATCATGTTGTGTGTGTGTATTTCTGTTGTGTGATACGACAAGCACTTCGGATGCAATTTTTTTTTCGAAGATAAAATATTTAACATTCATTACATTAGAAGGTACTTTTTTCCGTAAACATGAATTTAGAGGTCAAGTTATTATTTTGAAAATTAACTTCAGGGGAGACGGCACTCAGAATTTTGCAAAGTATTTTTCTATATTCTACTTATACAAGGTGATACAAGGTCTACTTATACAAGAAGACGTCCATGGCGGTTGTGTTTCTAAATTTGTGAGTGCCGAGGTACTGGTTTATTGGTGTGTGTCGAAAAACCAACGAGTATGTCGCTGCCAAACAGGGATGGAAACGCAAAATAACAAATCTCCGAGCGTCGGAACTGAAAACCACTCCGGAATCAACGATGTCTCGCAAGTGCAACGGCCCTCGACGCATTCGGCACCAACCCCAGCAGCCATCCCCGACGATAACAACAGTGCCAACCCAACAGGCGATGACCATCAACCAACTGAACCACCAACCGACCCGAACGGCGATGATGATGAGGAATCCAGCGACAGAGAAGTGGCGTTTGCGGCGATCGTGAGGCGAGCCGACAGGGAGACGACAACACCAGAAGGAGGGTTGGCCCTGGTGATCGAGCGCAGTAAAGGACCACATGGACGGATGCCCAATGGTTGGTGGCCAAAAATAACAATCGAGTATAATCGGAAGCATAACCAGAATGTAACGTCGACAACGATGAAAAATAAGTATACCCGGTGGAAAAATCGACAACTGCCTACTCAATCGGGCAACGGTTAGGTGACCGAAGAAAGAGACCGGCCGCTGCCAGCGACCATAACAAACTGTACACCAATGTGAAGAATCTGCTGGCCAATAACATCGAGCTGGCCCTTAATCACCAAACTGACCGAAGAAGAACAAGAAAGGTATACAGTCAGGAAATTAACTATCAGGTCATTGAGATGCTTAATCTGGTGATCGAGCGAGAGGAGCTGGAAAAGAGGGCAAATACTCTAGCAAAGCTGAATGAATTGATCTTTGCTTGCCAGCTGACATATGAGGAGCTTACAAAGAAGCCTAAGAAAGAGGTGAACTGGAAGGAGTCTATAAAAAAAAAGATCGAGAAGTTTAGTCAACAGCTGCAATTTGTCACTAGTCACAAACAGAACGAGGCTGCCTCGAGAGCACTAAAGCGAATCTGCAAAGCCACTCAGTACCACTCTAACAACGAGGACCAGTTGAAGAAGCTTCAGGACCAGATTGAAGAAAAAAGGGCGGTCTTTGGAGAAAAAACTGATGATTGCGGCTAACCGGACCGAGTATCGGAGAACGAATAAGCTGTTCGAGTTCAATCGGTCCGCCTTCTACCGGAGACTTGACGAAGACCAGAAGGAGATTGACGAGAACATCGATGTTGATGAGGTGATTACTTTCTGGAGAGGAATCTGGGCGACCGATGACGAAGAAGGGGAGTACCAGGAAACGATTGACCTATTGGACCCAGTAGAGCTTCAGACCAAAACTGAGGAGGAGAAAGTCAAGAAGGTCATTGAGGAGAAGATCAAGTTCCTACCCAACTGGAAGACACCGAGGCCCGACGGCCCGTATTCAGCTTCCTCATTAAAAGACTGACTGCACTCCACTTTCGTCTCACCGACCTTCTAGTCAAAACAGTTGATGACCCTGAACAAATTGACGGGCGACTGTATATGGGCACGACGTACCTTATCGTGAAGACGAAACGAGCAAGCAAGGGCAAAGAGTTACGTTCCATAACTTGTCTCCCGAACATCTACAAGCTGCTGAGCAAGGTTGTCACAGCCCTGGTGACGGACCTGTGCGAGGTGAATGAGCTGATCTCGGCCAACCAGATGGGTACTCGAAGAGGCTGCCAAGGTGCCAAACAGCAAATCCTCCTCAACAAAGTGCTCAACCAAAAGCACAACAACGGGCTGTTTACGTCCTGGATTGATATCCAAAAAGCGTATGACAGCGTCAAACACGACTACCTGGTAGCCGTACTGACGAAGTTGGGCATGCCGGAGAACATTATCAAGTTCGTCAAGCGGACGCTTGCTTTCCAACGCACCAGCCTGGTTTGTCACCAGAGTGATATTGGCCAGGTGAGGATCAACAAAGGACTCCTCCAGGGTGATAGCCTTTCATCGTTGCTTTTCGTTCTCGCGTTGGAACCCTTGAGCCGCCGACTTAACCAGAACTGCGAACAATTGCAGATGGGCAACATCGAACTCAACCATTTGATTTTCATCGATGACATCAAATTATTGGCTGACACAGAAGAGACACTAATCAGGCTGTGTGGCCTAACAAAAAAAAAAAAAACGGTCTGTCAGATGGGACTAAAGGTGAATCTGCAGAAGTCGGCGAGTAACGTCGGGAACAATGGAGTCTTCGGAGGGATGGTGGACGACCACAGAGGTTACAAGTATCTGGGCACCTTGAAAGACTCACGAAATGTGGTGAAAGATGAGAACAAGGCCATCGTTACCAACAAGGCCACCGAACGAATGAGAATGCTTTGCAAGACAAAGCTCAATGCTGCCAACCTGTTTAGCGTTGTATTTCTGAAGGAATAAGTGCACCACTAAGGAGGCGTCAAGCTGTTGGTGGGTCACTGAAAATAAGAATAAACAAACAAAGGAATCAACGAATTTGCCCTCTCGACACTCAATTACTATATAGGTCTCCTACCTTCCAAGCCGAAAGAATACGAACGGTTGACAAGGAGGTCAGGAAGATCCTGAACGAGTACAAGGTGACCAGGAATGCGGCGAATATGTATCGGTTATACCTGAAGCGCGACCAACTGGGAAGAGGACTCGCTTGCGTGGAGGAGAAAGCTGACATAATGCTATTCAAAATGTTAAAATCTTTTGAAAAGAATCCGAAGACAAGACCGCTGATGGACCAGGAGAAAGAGGGAAAAACCCAGCTTAGGCGAATATGTGATTACCTGAAGGCAAAGTACCGACCTGAAGAGACCAAGTTGACAGAGAAAAATATCCAAAAAAACAGGAAGAAAGTCGAATGACGAGAATAAAGGAGAAGGTGCTGCACGGCATTCTTTTCAATAATGGACACAGTGCCAACGAAGATGCCCAAGCCGAGGATAACGACGATGACAACAGTAGTGTGGTCCCCAGCATTTACGACCGAAAAATGTCATCAATGTGGCTGACGAAGGGCAACATGTCGCCACAGCAGGAGGGGATGCTCACCAAATTACAGGATCGTAACCTGAACTTTGGAGGAATGTCAAAAAGATGTCCCCATTGCTTCAAGGGCTCAAGGTCGGTGGAACACCTGGCGACACATTGTGGAGTAGATTGTTGGTCTAGTTGGTTTTGGAACTTGGAATACATTTTACCGCTCAAAAAACAGGGACAAAGAGACGAGAAACAGACAGCACAGTGCGCTACTAACAACTGATTTTATTACATAAAACGACACTATTTTATACCATCCGAGTTTCTGATTTCGCTCCACCTCTAGCCAACCCGATGCCAGGCCGCGTCATTGAGGAACGCACGCTCCTTGTCCAGTAAATCAATCGAGGCCACGCTGACACATGCTGCACCACCCTTCTTAAAGGGGCACTGACACCCCAAAGGTCGTATTTATTTTTATTGTCTAAAACGATGCACGTTGCAGTCATAGACACGCAAAAAAAACCGCATCGCGAAAAAAAATTTTCCCGCGCGCGCGCGCGCCTTTTTATTTTTGGCGTTTGATTTTCCCGCGTCTCGCCTCCTCGCTTCTTTTGATCGGTGACGTCAAAAATCAGGAAATTTAGAAGCTTTGTAGGCGACATCTCTTTAACATTTAATTACGGCAATCCTAAAACATGTTTTTTAACGCAATTGCGAACGCACTACGGCCCTTCTTTTTGAAATACCAAAAATCGGGAGTTCGTTGTGGTGCCGTCTCCTGGATTTGTATCCTCCAACGGAAAACAGGCGACACCGCTCAAAACCGGTCCGCCGCAACGCCGGGCGCTCGCTCCTTTCCTCCTCGCTTTGGGTCGCCATGGCAACAGCAGGGAGAGGTGAAAGGAAGTCGACTCTCAGGTCTCCGCGATTTTTGACGTCAAGGCACCGGCGCCGATCGCGCGGGAACTTCGAATTCGGCATTTGGAAATTGTTTTTTTACTTCACGAATACTGAATTCCCAAATCTCAAATTTTGAGGGTAATGTCCCGGCATTGTTTTCAATCGTTTCGGATAATAAAAAAAAATATGATTTTGATGTGTCAGTGCCCCTTTAAAGGAGCGATGCAACAATTTTTGTACTGTGCACAAATACCGCTTAAAACGGATCCCTAACGTTAATGACCTATGAAACACGCGTTCGTTTTTCACCCCACGCAATAGAAGTCCCAGAAAAAAATTTAAGAAAAACGAGCAGCGTTCACCCCCTCAACTCGCAGCCAGAACAAGCGGCCACGTGATCTGGAGCCGATTATATGCCGCCAATGTAGATCATAGCCACGCGCTGGGGTTGGCAAGGCGCAGGACACGCGCTGAGTTCCAGACATTGTTATGGCTCGGCTGTTGTCGTCGTTGCAGCGATTGGACACGGGTCACAACCCGAATGCTTCTCGAGCTAGCAATTGTCACGAGCCCAAGTCGAGTGCCCACGCAATGCTCGGGTCCAATCTATGAACCGTATTCAAATATCGTCACTTGAGTGTACTGCGATCCCCGAGTTACGTCATCAAATTTTGCAAAGGAGAGATTGAATGAAAATGATCGCTTTTGTCCTTGAAATTACACCGCAACAAAGGAGTTTCTTGGCCAATGGCGTTGCGGGTGAGTATCCTTGAATCCCAGGTGTGCCAGTAAGCTCGTGTAGAGAGAAAAACATTCCAATTGAATATCGTTGCACCGCTCCTTTAATCTCATCTGCCTTGACTATCTCCCTCACAGTTTTTTCCTTGTGCCGTGCCATAATCTTGCTCTCGGAAAACAACGGCACACACTTGCAGCTTTGACAATGATCAGACAGATGACCGTCCCGATAATTTCCAACTTTAAGCTTGTGTTCCCTCAGCCTATCATTAACACACCTACCGGTCTGACCTATAACTTGTTTCCGCATGACAAGGGGATCTGATATACTACTCCCTCCGCACATTCAACGAAGGGATCCCTGTGTTTTACCGCGCAGCCAGAAGGGGCCTTACGAAAAAGGTCTGTCATCCTACATAATCTACTAAGTTTGTTTGGTGCGGAAAACACTACTTTCACGTTTGATCTATTGGCCACCTTTTTCAAGCCATGCGCCGTTTTGTGAATGTACGGTATCACCGCGAGCTTTTGTTTATCTCTGAGAACCATTGGGCGAGGGCAATCTTCTCTACGCAATCTTTTTAACGCGATCTCTGCAACTGACTCCACTACATTCTTCGGGAAGCCAGCTGCCAACAACCGCCTATACTGCGTGCCCAGGCCCTCTGACATCACATGGTGGCATGATTTTTTGAGGGCATTCAATACGCACATATTGGCAATACTCCTTTTTACCAGTTTCGAATGAGCTGAGTTGTACGGCAATAGGGGTTTCTGGGCTCTAGGGTGGTACATCCAACACACGTCTTTCAGAAAAGTTTAGTCTGATATCAAAGAACTGCAACACACCATCTACCGGTAGTTCCTGGGTTAGTATGAGGGGGTGTAAGACGTTTTTAAAAACAGTAAAGAGGTCATCCACTCTCGACTGGAATTCTGCAGGCCCATGGTTGAACAGAACCAAAAAATCATTCACAAATCTAAAAACTTTGATTTCATTAAAATCGTTGCCTTCATTAAATTGCTCAAAAAGCACTTTGCCCTGATGGGCTAAAAATATGTTACTGAGGATGGGTGCCAAACATGAGCCAATGTATACCCCTTGTTTTTGTATATAGACCCCGTCATTCCATTCCACAAACGTCGATTTAAGATAAAACGAGAGCATTTCAATGAAACTCTCTTCCTGTCATGCCGATCCGATTCTGGAAGGCCACTGTACCAAAGCGATGGATACACTGTTCCACGGATGTTAGTAACTTCTCGTGTGGCAAAGAGTAGTATAAATCTTTAATGTCAAATGAACAGGCTGAAAATCCTTTGTCGGAGTTATCTTTTAAAAAAATCTAAAATATCGTGAGAATTTCTTCCCAAAAATGGATCGTTAAAAACTAGGTTTTAACGATCCATTTTGGGGAAGTTTGTCACTTACCTCAACAGCAGGTCCTTGGTGGATTCACTGACGTTACACCACCAAGGTAAAGACAAGTGCCTGAAACACGATAAAAACAGAGCAAAAAAACACAAAAGACAAAAGGAAAAGAACATACAGGACAGCACAAGGAGCTGACTAGCAACTATTGTATATTGAAAAAAAAAACACAGATCCTTATAAACCTGAAACACCTTCGTCGCTGTTCACTACCTGCGCTAACCATGCATGTTTTTTGAACTGCATGAATAAAATACAACATTTAGTCTATAAGCACCTCAAAGCCCGTTGCAGTATCATAATCTAGCTAAATTGAGTTAGCCTCTGATATAATCACTGCCTTTGAAACTTCTGTGACATGGCCTGTGAGACCCTTAAATAAAAAGTTAATCAACAATTTTTTGTTAATTGGTCATAATGCTACAGATATCCACCAGTCTAATTGTCCACAGAGTCGCACAAACACACCCTGAAGACAGGACCCACACAGCAGTGAGCCTTTTTTTTAATCGGTTAAAAAATGGCACCTAGTGTACTAGTGTAGTGTGCCATTGAGTGTACTGTTTCCAAAACTGGCACCCCAATAAACCAAATGAATATTTATTAGAGTTACATACCATAATTTTATAAATGATTATGTTTAATTAGGTGATATTCAATGAAGCATTCAAAGCACTCAGCAAGTATGAAAAATCTAGAAGCCCTTTGTCGCACTATCGTGGACAAAGCAGTGACAAAGAATGTATCATATCCAGCACTGAGCACGCGTAAGAGCGTCTCGGATGGTGACATCAAGCCATTTCTGTTTCACAATGCTTCTTTCTCTTTTGTGCTCTTCAGCGTGTGAGAGAGCGTTTCCCAGCTCGAGCTCATAGTAGGACGGCAGCATTTCATTTCCTGTATTTTTCAGTCTGTGCGTTCTATAGGCATCAGGTACTACAAAGAATGGCACCAGCCCAAGCCAAGAATTCATAAAAAAAAGCCATAGTACCTTCATGTACTCTCTGCTTGGGCTGATGACAATCCTAATTGATTTATTGTCCGGTACCCCTTTGGTGTAGTCGGTATCTCACGGTTATTTTTCAGAAATCACTGTCAACGGCCACAGTTCCTTCATCTTGGGAACTCGCAAAAAGTCATTCCCGTATACAAATCTGGCAACTCAAAATCACTGTCAAGCTAAAGACCAATTTCTATAACGTCACATTCATGCAAATTAATGAAACATATTGTCTACAGGCATGTTATGGAGTCTCTCGAAACTAACAGTATTTTATGCGATTTCCAACATGGTTTTCGCCGCGGTTATATAGGACTATGACACAACTAACATAATTTGTTAATGATATCGGTCAGTCTCTTGATATCGGTAATTAAGTTGATGCAATATTTATAGATTTGTCAAAGGCTTTCGACACAGTTAGTCATTCTAAACTTCTACACAAGCTTAACCTAGTTCTAAATATTCATCACCTGCTCAACTGGATATTCAGTTTTCTTTCTCGTCGGTCACAATTAGTCTACTTTAACTCATCCAAATCTAGTACAGTTGATGTATCATCAGGTGTTCCACAAGGATCAGTTCTTGGACCGCATGAATGATTTGTCACTCTATATTTCCACTAAGATACGGTTTTACGCTGACGACTGCGTACTATATCACGTGATAAACTCCTCCGATGACCATATAACTCTTAACCATTCATTTGTGAATTTTTGTATGTGGTGTAAAACCTGGCAAATGAACCTGAACTTTTGTGAAACCGTTTTTATGACCATTTCTAGGCGTTCATCACCTCCTGTGTTTAATTA